ATCCCAAAACTTAAATCGATGAATCAGATAAATTTAATTTATATATTAACATACCAACAAAACTATTTTTAAAAATTATTTCAGTGTAGATGGTATGCCAATAACCATGATTCGTATGATAGTTTTTTTTTTCTTTTTTTAAAGAAGAAGAAAATAGCGATGTAATTTATTATTGGTGGGAATGATCGCGACGTGATTGGAATTTAAGAATGGGTAAGCCAATTCCAATTGGAGAATTAGATTCCAGATTCGGTTGGTCAAATTGGAAATGAAATTAAGAGATGAAGTTTCGTGGGGTTTCAGAATTTAATTTCACAATCAAATTTGATGGTCAAATACGACTCGTTTTGGAGTTTTGGTCGGAGCCACCGTTTCAGAGAGCGTAGCGCCGCCCTAAATAACACGCCAGGCCATATGATTTTGCCATATTTTTCTTTTAACCATTTTTGTATTTTCTATTCTACCTATAAATAAAATCTTCACTAAACTAAAATTGGTGTGATTTTTTTAATTTGATTTTATATTATATTCGAGTTTGAATTTGACACTTTAATCTTATCATAAATTTTCATTAAATAGAATAAATTTAATACATAATTAAAACAAATGTAGTAACTTTACATTCTCATGGATGTTAAATAAAATTAACTTCTATTATTGTTTTTTATTAAGGTCATGTTTCCTTAACGGCAATCGTAATGAAAACCAATTGGAATAGTAATGTTATTCCATTGATGTTGTTTATTAAAAATTTTCTGGAATTGTAATCAGAATTGGTTTGATGTTGTTTTCTAAAACTGGAATCGGAATCAGGATCAGATATATGACAATTACAAATATATCACTTTCTTCTTTTTAGCCAATTACAAATATATTATTGTGCTGATATTTTTTAAATTACAATAATAATAAATTTTATTTTAATTTATTACTATATTATTGATAGTAAATATTTCTTATTATAACAATTTATCTAATATTAATATATAACGAATAATTAAAATAAAATTACATCAAATAAAATATTTTTTTATTAGAACAACCAAACTTTAATAAAAACATATTATTAAGTTTTATTATTCTAATATTTAAAAGTAATAATATCTATTTAAAAAATTTATTGATATTAATTAATATTAATATTATATAATAAAATCACTAATCAAAAATTATATGGGTTTAATCCATAGACGAGAGAGGAAGGATAAAAGTGGTACATTTATATACATGAGGTTCACAAAATAAGGAATGAGAATGAGATTGATGAGTTGGAGGAGTGCAATGAGATTACAAAGTTTGAGGTGGGTCTCACCATTTGATTACATTCCTACCGTAAACACCCTCAAAGGGAATCAAAATTTTCATTACGATTCATTGATTACGATTGCAGGTAAGTAAACGAGGTCTAAATGTCAACCAGCACAATTCGACCAATTCAAATATATATTTTGATCAAAATATCAGTAATTGAAATCTCCGCTCTTGCATCTTGTTTTGTTGAATAAAAAAAGGTTGATTTGACCAATCTAGAATGTTTGGTACTCTTTTAGCTATCCTATATGACCATATAAAACTCAACTTGAGTTGTCTTTTTTTTTTTTTTTTTGGAACTTCATACTTTTCTAAAATAAAAGTAACAATGTTCTTCTCATGAACTTTAATATCAAATTTTTTTACGTAATATATGCCGTTGAAATTATTAACCAAATGTTCACATCATATATCCAAACACATTAACGCATTGCATCAGCTCCAGAAAAAAAAAGCATGAGGCATTTTCTCAAATTTTCATTTTTAAATATGTTTAAAAAAAAGGGTAAGGGGGTGAAATGTTATTATGAAATTGTGATAAAATAAAATTGAGATTAAAAAATGAAATTGAACGTATCAAAATGATTATTTTTTAAAATTAGAGACCAAAATGGATATTTCCAAAGTATAAAAACTAAAATAGACCAAAATAATATTTAAATCTATAAATAAATATGGAGAGAGGGAGGGAGGGTTGCCTTTTTTTCATTTTTTTTTATTAAATGAACATTTACATCAGAAAAGTGGCCATCGTGCACCACAATCAAAATACACGAAGGAAAATAATTATCTCAAAGAACAGAGAAACACTAAGAAATGACAGACTTGACCTTGAAAGAATTAGGAACGTGAACAAATTTTAGACCACTAAACACCTTCCTCAAAGTCATAACATCCTCAACCTCATTCAATATGTCGGAGGAGACTCCTCAATTAATGGAGAGATTTGTCAATTATTGTATCCTATTTAGAATTGGAAGAGAAATAGTTGTCTCCAAAGTTACCTTATTATCCGCCATGACATGCAACATGCAAGAAGCGATTGAGAAAATTCCTCAAATCATGCTAGTCATGGAATCTCACTACAATCAAGACTAATAGCCTCCACAGATTTCATAACGATGTTCGAACTAATCGTTACTGCTAGTACCTCCATCGTCGCCCACCTTCAGCTCCGTCATCCTTGCCTCTGGACCATGGAAGTTCTCTCAACTAGGATGCAACGAAAATGAAGAGCCATCCCAAGAAATCGCAAATGGGTGTCCTCTCCAATTTTGTGCTTGATAACTCTTCAAAACGTTCTGATGATGAAACCACGAACCATACATAATAATGTTGTCTTTGATTTTGTCAGCTGCAACAACATTATCAACGTCCAACGTGGAGAAGAAGGAAAAGGAGTGGGGAAGAAGGAGAAGGAGTGGGGAGCAAATGACTAACTACTCAAGAGGGAGAAAACGTAATAAAATAATCCGTAGTTAAAAAGGAAGGGTTTTGTTTTTGAAACAGTGTTTTCTTCAACTTTAACAGTAGGGTCCAAAAGGCAAATGAATTATTAACATTTAACATTAATATTTATAGCACAAGCCAGCGCAATGATTAACTTTAGCCGCTCAATTATTTTATCAAATTAATATTGAATCCTTTTTAAAATATCTCTAAATCGTTTATTTAAATATATTATTCAATTTTCGAGTTTCTACATATTATGTTATCCCATTTTTTGATGGATGCGGACGCCTCCAACGGCTCGGTTCTGATCAATTTCCCTGAAACCGTCCTGTCCCTGGGAAGGACCAGCGTGGGGCCCAGTACAAACGGTTCTTATTAATACACGTGGCAACAGAATATTTTTCAATCAAAATCGCGAGGAGAATTGACGGTTCAGAATCGTCTTTTGACACCGCACGTGAGAACATCCCGTGTTAAATATTCTATTTTCAATTTCTTAATTAAGAAAATCATTTTAAATTAATTCCCTAAAAATATATCGACAATATTATTTATTTATTTTATTAATGATTGAATGACTATTCGAAATCTAACCTTCCATCTACCCTACTCAATTCAATTTTTTTTTTGGACATATCAATACCAAACTTTTTGTGTTCCGAAGATTTTGGGAAAAAAATATATCAATATGTAAGTTGATAGAAGTTTTATTTCATGATATAAATAACAATAGTAGTAAAGCATAACAGGTTTGCTGCCTAYCAAAAATTTGGTCCTACAAACGTTTACACGTAGAATATGAAGGGTCATTCATATTTTTTCCATTCAAATATCGGTATAATTGTCAACTGAAATATAATTATAAATGATAATAAATATATGAATTATTTAGGTGATTACCGATCAATACTAAAATTTTACTGACCATCATTAACTTTTTTACAAATAGAGGAAGAAAGGTAAAAGAAAAAATTAGATAATATTTTTGCTTTTAAAAAATTTCAAAGAGGTATCAATTTTTGAATGGTACGTCCTCAAATCAACATCCAAATATTGTTCCAAAGATATTTACTCATTTTTTTCCCTTTTGAATTGATATTAAAAATGATTCTCTATGTTTAGTATCTATCAAAAGTTGTATTGGGCATAGACTTATTTATCACATGGGAATTAAATACCTGTCAGTATTACCATCTACATGCATTAAAATTAATTTAATATGAGATCAATTTAAAATAATTATAGTTGTCCAACAAATTCAAAGTATGGAAATTACAAAGTTGTCAAACAACACAGATAGACATTCTCTATTTAAAGAATTAAAGGGCATCTCTTTAATAGTATTATATTTTAATTATTAATCTAACATTCTTCTTCTTATATGTTAACCTACCAATTTTCAAACATTTTAATTCCATGGAAATTGAGATGTTATCTACTATTTTTCTTTTTAAAGTTGGAGTTTAAAACTCCTAGTTCTTAATTTATTTTACTAAAAAAATAATAAAATTTTGGTCCAACAATGAATTTCAGTTTTCAAATAAGGTGGAATTATGACAAGATGGGTAAATAAATTGCTGACTTGAGCAAACTCAATAGGTCAAAGTGTTATCATCAATTAAAATGTTGTAAAAAATAATAATAATAAAGACGAATTTGGAGGATTTTTTTTCTCATCATTATTCTTTGGAGTTTATTTGGTATGGAAAATTTGCTCCATTGCACAATTTGGAGCTCAAAGTGGGCCACAAAAGTGAGCCCATGACCGCTTGGCAAGTTTTTTGGGCTAACCATACTTCGGCCCGTGTGAAAAGAAGGCGCGAGAATTTTATTCTTGAAAAATAATGTAGTAACTCAATTCCATTTGCTTAAAAAAAATTTAAAAAAATAACTTAATTCATTTTGCCTCTTAACTTTAAAAATTAATATATTTTAGTTTATCAACTTTCTTTAATCATGGCCATGGGATTTTATTTTTTTTAAGGGTTGATCATGGAATATTAACTTCTTATCTTGATAAACTTTCTTAAAAAGAAAAACATTGATTTTGAACGTGTATTAAGGAACTAATGTGGGAATAAAGAACTAATGTAGCAATAAATTTTGCTAGCTTAAATCAGCAGTAATTGATATATGTTTCTGGCTCATGAGTTCGTATCCCACGACTCACTTTTATTAAACAAATGTGGAATGAATTTTACACGAAAACTTTTTAAAACTTGGAACAAACTTGAATCTCCAAAAACCAAAATAGGACCTGAATTTTTCTTCTCCAAACTTAAATATTTGCACGACCACATTTGTATAACTTGTTTGGATACTCAAATATTAGTATAAAATAAAAGTGATCGAGCTAAACCTAAAAGAAATCTTACATTAGGAATCAAGTTTATTGTTTTTTTAATATAATAAAGTAAAATAAGAGAAAGAAAGTCAATAAAGTAAATTGCTATTACGAAATTGTTAACCCAGAAAACGCATCAAATTTACCATTTGTGTCATTTTTGGCTATCCATTCCCACCGTCGCCATTATCGCGATCTTTCTTCTTCTTCTTCTTGGATTCGAATTTTAGGGTTTCGATTTGTGAGATGCGTATTTGCGAGCCCTCTCATCGATCCACTCCCTCATATCCCTCAGCACAATTTCCATATTCTCATCCGGCTCCCCCTGAATCAGAGAATGGTACATCCCATCGTACAGCTTCAAGCTCTTGTCCACGCTCGCCGCCTTCCCGTACAGAAGCTCCGACGACGACGGACACGTCACCCCGTCCGCCGTGCCGTGAGCCGTCAGAAACGGCGCC